AGGTATCAAGAACAAAGGCTGGGCCGCAATCAAAAATATATTCATCACAAAACAATTAGCTCAATAGGCAAACCGACTATGTTTGCTACCATATCAACTATCACAAGTCTGAGAGTGACGGCTTCAAATAGGGTCCAAAACTATAATTGAAAGTCTGGTTCCCATACACATCAAGCTGCTTTTTTCGACTTATTAGCGGCCACACGGCCGCTAACCACAGTGAATCAGCAGGCCTTGCAATTCTTCCGACAGATCATCAACTTAGCTTAAATATATCTGAAACCAGCAGCGTGTATTTCGACTGTACTCATACAAGTTCCCCTACTACATAAGATGACCCTTTGTCCAACCATATACAAACAATCAGTAAATCTACATATGCAACATGGATGTTAGATTACTTATCTTAAATGCCCGGTCTCTCAACAACAAAATGCACCACCTACGTTCTCTAATGTTTTTCTTCTGGCCTGACATTGGACTTGTCACGGAGACTTGGGAAGACTACCATACTGCTGATACACACTTCTACATCCCAAGCTTCCGTAGCTTTAGCATCAGTAGCATATCCCGCCGTGGTAGCGGTTGCCGCATACATGTGGACAATAAGCACAATGTAACTTCTGTGTGCGACCCAATTCTAAATGGCCTTGATGACTCTGTATGGATTAACATTCAAATAAAGTACAAGACCATGCTTATTGGTTGCGTACAACACTCCAAACTGCCGTAAATCGGATATTGATCGCCTCGAGGGAGTGTTTTCATACACCTCTATTGGTGGAGACATTAATATGCCCGAGATCTCCTGGTATACACCACGGTTCCCATTAAAATATCTGCATTTTGTTTCAGCAATCCATACATTTGATTGGATTCAAGGAACTTCATCTCCAACAAGAGAACACTTGCCAGAACTAATCTTCACAAGACATTAGTCCTAGAAGTAAACGCATCCTCCCCAATCTTCTTGGGAGTGATCACAAGATAGCAAGAATATGCTTCGAAGGAAACGCCTACAACAACGACGCGTTCTACAAGATTATAACTCCTCATGACTATCACAATACTGCGGAAGATTCTGCAATCAAATTGCGATATCTAAAATGGGCTGACTATTTCCTCTCCTTTAAATCTCAACATGAAATTGACGTGTTATACAAAAGGGTAATTTCGTGTCTAGATATCTTCTGCTCAATGCGTCACAGGCGTAACTTCCTCAAAACGAGTATGGACGCTATCCCGTCGTATATAACACGAAAGCTGAAGAAGCCACGATACAGAATTATAGACTAACAATTTTAGTCTGTTAATTCAGCAAATATCATCCACAGAAGTAAATCGGTCCTCAAAACTTCTCAAAGACAAGACCAATGACTTACTTTCCAGCAATAAATCAAATGAAATGATCAGACTACTCCAGTTCAGGAGCGATTTCAGGCATCATGTACCACTTTCCACTATACTGTCTGACAATAGCTTTTCTGCAAATCCGGCTGATGTTCGATGTTTTCAATAAATACCTCTCATCGTTTTTTCACAGAACCGTGCATAGTACCGATGGTAAACATCCATGCTAAAACTGCGGATAACATCAGTACTATTGAATTTGAGCTATCGGACATAAGGACTCTGGGAAACTCAATGCGAACCAGCTTTTATCCTGGCCCGGATGGAATACCGTCTGCTGTGCTCAAATTCGGAGGCCCTGATGTCCCCATACTGCTTCGAAATATTTTTACTTTATCCATGGAGTCTGAGCTGTTCCAGATTTGTGGAAATATGCGCTAGTTTCGCCAAGATATAACAGTGACCCACATCAAATACACACGAGCTATCGGCCCATCAGCCATACCTCCATTCTGTACATAACGAATGGAAAGGGTAATAAAAGCCTAAATTGTTGGATTCCTATCGTCCCGGAATTTGATCAATACTTCCCAGCACGGCTTTCTGAGAACACGGTCATGTATTACTTGCCAAGTACAATTTCTAAATTTCATTACTCGTTTCACTGACCGTGATAAACGCTTGATCATTATATTTCTTGATATGCGTAGAGCGTTCGATGGAGTACCCCATGGAAAGCTTATCTCGAAAGTACATTTCTTTGATATAACTGGCAAGTTACGAGGGTCATTCAATAAATAAGATGAATTTTTCGGTATAAGGACTTTTTATACATGCAAAAGCTTACTTTTTAATTTTGTTATTTTACTTCTTTTCACATGGATGTAATTTCTTTTGCGGACTGAAAAAAGACTTTTAGAGTTCTGGCGATTAACAAAGATGGCCGACCAAGAAGCATGCTCCAGGATTGAACAGCGGTCAGTTATCAAGTTTTTGGTTGCTGAAGAGTGCAAACCAGTTGAAATTCATAGGAGAATGTCAACTGTGTATGGTGCCACATGTTTCAGCCGAAAAAATGTCTACAAGTGGGCAAAATTGTTTAAAGAAGGACGGAGCAGTGTTGAGGATGAAGACAGGCCTGGGAGGCCTACAGAAGTGAGGTCTCCTGAGGTGATCGAATCAGTCAATGACCTCATTCAGTCGGACAGAAGGGTGACAGTGGATGACATTGCAAAGACTTTGAGCTTATCTGTTGGAACAGTATACAAAATTGTCCATGATGACCTTGGCTACTCGAAGGTCAGCTGCCGGTGGGTGCCAAAGATGCTTACTGCAGAGCACAAGCAGAGGAGGGTCGAGTTGTGCCAGCAGTGTCTCTGCCGCTATGAGAAGGATGGTGATGAGTTTCTGAAGAAGGTGATCACATGTGACCAGACATGGGTTTGCCAATATGAGCCTGAGTCCAAACGGCAGTCCATGGAGTGGAAGCACGTAGGCTCTCCAGTGAAGAAGAAGTTCAAGTCCCAGCGGTCCACGAGGAAAGTGATGCTCACCGTTTTTTGGGATATGCAAGGCCCAATCACCATTTCATTCCTTGAGAAAGGAAGCACTGTGAACAGTGACAACTACTGTGAACTGCTGAGGCAGGTCAAGAAAGACATAAAGAACAAACGCAGGTGTCATCAGTCAGAAGGAGTCATCTTGCATCATAATAAAGCAAGGCCTCACACAGCAGCCCGAACGGTGCAGACCATCATCGATTTTGGCTGGGAGCTGCTCCCTCATCCCCCTTACAGCCCAGACCTTGCCCCTTCAGACTTTCACCTGTTTGGTCCCTTGAAAGCGTTCACGAGAGGCACGAAGTTTGAAAGTGACGATGAAGTCAAAAGTGTTGTGAGCGACTGGCTGAGACATCAGTTCAAAGATTTTTACGCTGAGGGAATACGGAAGCTTATGCACAGATGGGAAAAGTGTGTGACAGTGCTGGGAGACTACGTTGAAAAATAAAAAAGTAAGCTTCTATCTGTATTAGAAGTCCTTATACCGAAAAATTCACCTTATTTATTGAATGACCCTCGTACATTTCTGGTAGGCATCAGGCAACACTTCCACAAGTAGAAAAGTCACCGGTGGCCTGATCCAAGGAAGTGTTCCAGGGCTTCTTTTGTTTTTGATGTACATTAACGACGTCTTCGATGTCATCAAACACGGCAAGCCATATATATTCGCGGATGACATTAAAACTGTGTTCAATTCGGACATTAACCGACATACAAGCGGATCTGCACGAGCTGGAAACTTGGTGCAGCAAGTGGGAAATAGAACTCTCATCCGAGAAGTGCAGCTGCATATATACTGCCTGTACATATTTGATCTGTGCTAAATATGGACGCAGCTTCTCACTTAAAGAGAAATATATCCATTATTATTACTATCATTATTTATGAGAGCTATTAAATACAATCGGCGCTAATTCACAGTACATTTACCAATTAACTTGTGGCCACAGAGTATGTCACATCGGCCGAATCGATAGGGTCTTGAAGTATAGAGTGAGGGAACATGTGCCTAACTGCACTGTGAAATCACCCCGTCCTTGGTTTATTAGACCTCCCCTGTTCAAAAAAGCCATTCGTCTTAACTACAGACAGACAACTGCTGGCCACCTATCATCCGTTTGATCCGGTCTTAAGGTTTACTATCCTGTTGGAACACGTTAACACCAGCTTTTTGGTTTTGCCGAAGTCATCGCGATCAGCTTGGTCAAGCCCGCACTCTGCGCGGAAACTGCTGTACGTATGCTCCACTACCATGGACCTAATTGTTTCACATTAGTCCTCCACTCCTGTCGCTATTTTGTTCGAAAATGCTCTATCTGTAGTCATAAGTATTTTCCTGTTATTGTCCCGATACTGAGGAGAGAATGCGAGATGCAAGCATCCATTAGTGTTCATCTTTGTGATGCTCATACCATATACCAAATTAACTGAACTCACAATGTTCTCTCCCGTAGCCGATCGGTGGTCCAAGCTTCTGAATTGTAATCCACAAGGCGAGCACAACCTTTCAGTATCCATAACCGGCTCGCAAATGGTGGTTGTCGCATAGCAGCAGAGCGTCCGTACAACATACAGGCATACTGATGATTCTACTCTATCTCCCATGACTAGGGTTAGAAGGATGGAGACCAACCACTCTGAAACCACAAAGAAAAAGAAGGTAAGATCGAGTTTGACGTTTAACGATCGATTGGTGGTTCTGAAGATTCTTGGAAAGTACTGCATATCCTAGCGCAATGGTTCACCGAGGAAAATAAATCATTGTGCCATGTTAAAGTTCAGTCTCATCGCAGGGAAGTAGGTTAATATGCAGGCACAAATACAGTGCATAAAAAACGTGCATATTAGCAAACGGTTCGGAATCCGGCAAGCGTCCGAGGAAGACACACTACTAACGAAACCCAGAAGGTCGAAACAGCACTGTCTCGTGTTTTTCCAAACGTGCCAAAGCCTGCTAACTGAGTGGACTGTGAGGAAGTACCTCTGAAACGAAGACCAGTATTAGGAGAATAGAAAGCCGATGGCAAGACATCATTTCCCATACCGAACCATAGCTAAGAAACGAAATGGTTACCTCATAAGGTCACAGGGTTAGTAGCGACATTAAGTGATGTATTCAAGGAAAAAATATGTACAAAAGACAAAAACAGTAACTTTGATATCAGCGCCTCCTTTCTCGTCCCCTGTCCTTGTCTCGCTGCCGCTTGTAATCTGAAAGTAACAGGTATAACGGTTGGGGAATTTATTAAGCAAACGTACCTGGTGAATGACGGTCTTCGTCATACCTCCCACGCTTTTCTCTTGATCGACTTCGCCTAAAAGGTGGACATTGTATGTTTAAATGAAGTTTGCTAGATACAGAAATTGGCGATAAGACACCAGATAGACCATTGATCTACATTAAGGAAAACGTGATGTGGCAAATACAAATAAGCCGGAAAACAAAATATGCACGTAGATAAAATATTAGGAGCGGGCCTTCACACCGCTAATTTGAACATGCATCAACGCCAACGCTACATACATGGTCGGTAATAATATGTTGCTAGAAAATTAAAAAGCAGTATGGAATGGGCTAGTTGTGTAGAAAACAACGGTATAATTGCATCACAATGCCTAACCATGCTAAAAGCTAGCAGAGGGTTCAATGCTCACCTTCTATCTCTGTCTCGTTCATGACGACGATCACGATCCTTATCATCACGTTCTTTATGGCGGGATAGCTCATACTCTTTATCTTTTCTAACACGCGGACGTTCCATGTGAGGTGAATCTTCGCGATGCCTGTGCCGATGATGATGATGCTCGCGTTCCTTTTTGCGCGCTTCATAATCACGGTCACGATGACGAGGCTTCTCACGGTCCTTGGGTTTCTCACGATCGGTTACATTTACGGCGGCAGTTTCTAGCTCTTCAACATACTGTATATCTTCCAAGTCTTCATTTAACAGTGACTGTCGGGGTTCGAGTGTGTTGGTTTCTTCCAGAACCGATCTCTTCTGCAAGCGGGGTAATATGACGTCACAAACGCGTTCCTCAGTGAGAAGACTGTCAATAAAGTCATCCATATATATCAAACTAAAATCTAAAAAAGGTAAAACACTACACTGAAGATGACTTACTTCCCATGCGATCCTGACATTTTAGCCTCCTGAAATCATTATAAAGGGTCTCCAAGTACTTGTATATTTCGACGGATTCTCCAACCAATCGCAAATAAAATGCACCCAAAGCTCTGGCATATCTAAAACCAACAAATAAGTATGAACGGGGATGTCGGTTACTTGTAAGGCTCTTGCTTTATAAATTCAATCACAATATCCTTGTCTGGTTGAATTTGGAGCATTTTGAGGGTCAAACAAAGAAACGGAGTAGGTTTCACGTTTCCACCGTAAACACCACCAATGTAGCGAAGCTCCACTGCTTTATCGACCAGCAATTCGGCTACATGGACACGTCTAAAAGGAATAATTGTGCTTACCCGTCAAAGCGAAACAGTGTTCCTTCCAGTACTTGGATTCATAAATGCGGCTTCTGGTAATCTTTTCCACTAAATATTGAGGATTTGTTCCGTGCACTGTGTGCGCATCTTTTACCGTTCGGTTAGCCATAGAGCGAGTGGCAAACCGGTAACTACTATTTCAATTAAACGACCAAGTTCCGCTGAAAAAGATAAAAGGAGTGATCGTAAGTTTTGCTGAATCATAATGCAATCGGTACAGGAGCCGCACCCAATGGCCTGGGTAAGAAAATAACCGAATTCAATTGGTATGTGCGAATGTTCTGCAGCCCGATGACAAGGGTCGTCTCTTCAAGAGCAAGGCGAGCTTGGAATCTCATGGGATCAAAAATAAGTACGACTGCAGTATTGTGCCGAATGCATGCATTATGTTTGGCTGAAACGAACTAGAAATCTCATACTACTTCTAGGAAAATAGTAATATAAAAGATCGATAGACGGTGAAGGAATCTAAAGTGTGACGTCGTGCACGAGAGGTTGGACTATGTAGTGGCACATTGAGACGTTCAGTACTTTGTGGTGCAGGAGGAAAGAGTGTCTTTACTAAGCTGTTGGCTAACAGCCCACTGCTGTGGTACACAGCGCAAACAGCCCTTTGCTTACTTAGGCATGGGTGACCTGGTAGCATCCTGCTCGGATGACAAAAACTAACCAACGCCTGACAGTAAGTAGTCCTTGAGGCGTGAAAAGCAGCGAATAAACTAGTGCCGTTGGATTTGATTAGTGAGAATCATGCTAAGAAAAAATCCATATGAGACCACTGGGTTCTTATTAAAGCCACAAATCTTATCCGCACACAATGCGCGCCTATAACAAAACGAAAATTAGTGAGGTTTCTACAACTGACACTAGGACAGAAAAGTGCCAATCGACCAGATGGTTACTTCGGATGACGGCCGACGGTGAATTCAGCTGAAGCAAGCGGTTGAAATTTGGACTCAGTGGTCACATAAAACGAAATCAGCACTTGTTCAACACTGTCCTAATCGGCGGTAAAGTAGATTTTTCATGATGCAATAATGACGATGGTTTTAATCCCGAACTCCAATGACAAACTTCCAGTGCCGCAAGCATGACAACAGATAATAGTTTAGGAATAAAAGGTGCAAGAATTCAGAAATATTGGAATCCAAAACTCAAATTTCTAATGATATTGCTATCAACGAAAAAGTAAAACAGCCGGTTTAAAAGTTGAAAAAAAAGCAATGGCTCATCTCCATTCACTTCCAAAACTAAAATGTACCACGGAGGTGTTAAAAGCAGGAGCCACCTAAGTGGCCAGTAAAAAGTTTTGCATTGAATACAGCAGACAGCATGGTCTGCCTGTGGTAAGTCGCAGGCGTTCCCCCTGAGCCCGGTGGCCGATCAAGGCATAGCAACTTGAAGGCTTAAGATTTGGTACATTACTTTCCTTGGAAATCTTCACAGAAAGCGACTGAGAAACAATACTGTATAACACGAGCAACGAAAACAGTGCAGTGTGCAGCTCACCAAATATCAAAACATGGATGGAGCAGCAAAGGCCGCTGACTGCACATCGAAAAGACCTTAGTACTGCATGTGAAGTCAAGTAGATCAGCGTAGTTTTCTCAGTCAAATCAATTGATACAAAGCTGTAAGTTAACATAGTGCGTAGGCTTGTGAATCCACGAGAACCATCGGACTGTGTCGAATGGCACACACCTATTGCCTCTAAGACCCCTCGCATCAGTGTTAATGGTTAGAAGTTAAGCAGATTCAATCTGATCATCCTCTTCACAGTGAGTTGGGACAGGCCAACTGCTCTCATTCCTCAAAACTCAAAGATGGGAAACAGGGTTACAGGTTACATACTCAGCTCGATAAGCATAGGGCACGAGTGCCATGCACTCTTTGTTGGAAAGAACATGAATTCAACACGCCGATATGTTGCTACTCACCCTAAGCCAAGTAAGCCTTAAACAGCGAACGCGAACCCATTAAAACTCTCCCGTGGTTGACCATGGCCGCAGATTTGCCAAACGATACGACAAGCTAGATTACTGTTCCCCAAGTTTTAGAACAGATTCGCTAGCGAGGCTGCTAAGCACTCCCGAACTAGACTATAGAGCAAAAGAAACCTCCATGCACACTGCCACGCTGTAGGCCTGAATGAGTTAAGGAAAAGGGTAGGAGTCATTAAACAGTCTTTGAAATGAATAATCGGAGTATACTTCATCTCACTACTGCGTCGCTGTATCGGAGTGAAATAGGTATCGGCAGACAAAGGTGGACGGCAATGTATAAGCCACAGCGGTAAGCTAAACCCGGAGGACGAAGTGTCTAAGAATGAGGCACAGCAGGATAGGTTAAACAGGAGATTCAAGCACCGACATATACACACACACAAGTGGTGTGCCCAGCCGGTTGAAGCAACGAGCAGGATACCTTTAGGTTCAAGCATGGAGTTAACATTCGTTGATAAACAAGTTATCCATTCACTTGCTTCCTACCATTTAAAAGTACTCCCTTCTCAAGTTAATGAGCAGGAGAGCGCCACTGACGTCGTTGGTCACATTATCAAGGAACCCAGATCAGTGCTGATTTCCTCAAGGCCTATCTTTCTAACTAAAGACGATAGTTCAATTTGAGGCTAACAAAGTCTAAAAAATGCGGCAAATCCGTCAAAAGATTACATCTGCTATGGCTTTGACCATCCTGGATCGTGGTAGTGGTTCAGTCATGTGGCTGGTAACCCACAGGTTGCTAATTTGGATCTGTGTAGATGCGGGCGACTTCGAGCCTGACTAGCGAACACGCGATTTCTGGTAGCCGTGTGGCAGCGAAACTTCGATACGAGGTTCCGGTGTGACGCTGATCCTTGTGACGTTGATGTACGCTATCAAGGGAACGCGAACAAAAGTTAACAGGCAAGAATGCCAGTTACGAAAATAATCTGCTTCGCGTCTTCACCAATACAACATACCCAACACGCGGTGATTCCCGTGTAACAACCTCTCTCAATAGACAATATCATTAACAGCAGTACATTAGCCATTTAAATTGATGCTTCGTTGCCATGGTTAGCGGCATCCGGTTTCGGATTTGCCTGTCACTGTGGCCAGCCACAGGACGCCTGCGCCTACAGAGGGACCATGGGTGGCTTGCGCTGCACCACCCACAGCTCCAACCACACACCCCATATCCAGTGTAAACCCGAAGGAATAAGACCGGGAGGTATGTGGATGGAAGCCACGTTTCATCAACAGATCCGGCCCACACTCCTTCACAGGCAAACACAAGCACGCTGTAGTTGGGGAATCAAGCGCACACAAGGCAGTGATTGACTGTTGTCCGCTCCACACTGAGTGCATGGAACCGCTCTTTGAGCCTAGCATGGCCACAAGGACCATGCACCCCTTCCCCTCCAGCAACGACCAACTGTCTCCTGGAGCCAGTATGAACGAGGTAGTGGGTAATTGACAGGTAGGCACCTTGTCAACATGCACATCAAGCGCAGCCACACCGGGGATATCAAGCAACAGCCATTCACTTTAAACGATAAGCTGACATAAAATAAATCCAATAATGCATACAGATACGGTGGCATAACTATTCCCTAAATTAACATATGAAGTAAGTTGATTAGCAACGAATCCGCGATAAGTAAGAAATGTCCACAAGTTACTTGAAAATGCTACAAACGCAACAAAATTACTGAAGATAAGCGCAATTAGCGTAAGCAACGTGGCCAGTTAATAGAATATTATTCAGGTAGACAGAACAAACCAAATAAAGTGGAATGAAATGTATCCAGCTTAAAAAGACCTAGTTTAAGTGTACGTTGGTTTAGCCCAACTGCGGTGAAGAAGCATCAAGAATGCAACATCATCAACGCCATACAACCACAATTAAATACAGATCGAGGAATAATAAGAGGGAGACAAGGCGACCTGTTGTAAAGCCGAAATGCTTTAAGCAAACATTCAATGTCAAAGTGCCTACACACAGTCAACTGCACATGGCCACAAACAGCTGGTTACCATGAAAGAAAAGGCGGTAGAAGCAGGGAGGCATTTTTGCAGCCTGAGTTGTACTGCGTCATATTCATCCTCATAAAACAGATAACTCAGCACCAAACACAATTTAAACCGGTTGTCAAACTAGAAAACAATTACATGCGCGCCACTTATACCGACTGTGAGCCAAGCACAAGGCGGGTCAGGGGGATCCCAGTCTGGAAGGAGAGATGGACCAATAGCATCCACTCTGGTCATCAGTGACATCATTTCAAGATGAAAAGTCAGTTTCTGCCTCACTATGGCATTCCGTCATCTGACACTCGACAAAAATAACGAGGTCCTTCTCGGCAAGAAACAGTGATCAAACACGGTGAAGTATTTAATGTCTTGCCTGTGAGCTGGCCAGGTATCCGTTCTGTGCAATACAACCCGCCTTATCGCAGCATTATACATCCTAACTCTCACTATCAGGTGGATACTCCACAGTCCCTATAGACGGTTGAGCATCTCGAAAGCCACATACGAAGTAACACGCAGTGGTTTGACCACAAGAAAGAACACAGCTACCAAGGTAGGTGAACCGATGCACTACCACCAGCAGCTGTTCGCCGATCATCATCCTTCTCATCATCATCATCATCATCAGTAATAGTAGTAGTAATAGCAGTACATCAGTCATTTGAACTGATGTTTAGCTACCGTACAGCCACTGTGACCTAAGGAGCCAAGAAAAAGAAGAGGGAAAGAAGGGGGACCAAGCATAAAACCTTAATGCCTCAATCAAACCTACAGAATCAATACGCCTACGACGTGTGACAGCAAGATACCGTCACAAACAGCTGGAGATATTGAAAAGATAAAGCGACATCAGCGAGATAGCTCCCTTGCGGCTTTCACTGCCCCGCGTCATAATCAGCCATCAGGCCGCAGAGAACTTAGCAACAAATAAACTTTAAACATAGTCCAACTAAGAGATAACAACAAATGTGTCACTGGTGTCGAGTACGAAAAATGTACTGCAGTGTTACGAGCCAAGACAAAGGCGGTTAAGTGGACTCCAGCCTGGAAGGTGTGACAAACCGAAGACATCCAGTTTTGTAACCAGTGACTTCATTTCCCTCTGTCAAGTTATATTTTGCCCAACTTAAGCCCTGTGCAACCCCA